GTTCTATCTTATTGACCTTTGCTTTAATAATTCGGGTAAAGAATATGTTAGCCTAGGTAAAACCCAGACCTGGTATACCAACGAATCCGCAAGTGACGTTACATCCTACACTAAGGATAAAGTCAAGGCCATGCTTCGCACAATTCTCGAGGAAACATACGTACGATTTAGTGGTTGCAAATTCAAGCAAATACAAAGTGTACCGATGGGTGGTAGTGCTAGCCCGGATATTGCCGATCTCACACTGTTATTAATGGAGTATCGCTTTCATCGAAAGAATCGAGGGTTTCATTTTCATCTTTTCCGATATATCGATGATATTCTAATTGTCAATTGCGCCGGTTTGCTGAAATTGCCAGCAACATCTACGAGCCCAGCCTACAACTCAACACCACTTACTCTGGGCAACGAGCCTGTTTCTTAGACCGCATTTTTAACGTATACAACAAGACCCTGGACTACCCATTCAAAGTTGATTATGGTGGGCATCCTGATAGTGATATGGACCACACTGTACAAGAAGGTGTTGTTGTATCACAGCTACTTCGATATGCGCGCATTTGCACTCTTCCAGAGGAATTTCTTGACTGGGCTAGACGCCTTATAAATACCTATAGGCAAAAAAAGTTTGATATTGCCAAGCTAGAACGCTGTGCTCTAAGATTTTGCTTTAGGAACCGATCGGTAAATTCATCTACCCGATGATGTAGGAATTAAAAGCTTAGTTAGTAAGTTATTTTCATGAACGTTACCTCATAATTTACATGGAATTACTACCTGTCTCATACGTTAGTCTCCTCCTCTTCCATCTGCTCCGTCACTTTTATTATTTTCATTCTACTACACTTTCTTTCTTCTCTTTCTCTTTCACCTATCCTTCTTGCAAATTAGTCACATGTCCTTTCAGTACATGGCGGGTAGGAGGCTGTACTGACGATTCTTACCCCTACCCGCATGCATTGTCGGTCTGTGTATACAGCTAAGGGATGAAACACAGACTGCATCGTGAAATGTCTTATAATACATGACACCTAATTACAATCTTCTTATTCCATTATTCCCTCACACGCGCCTAGACCCCGCGTACCCCACCCCTCTCCCAAATATGCGAATTCTTTCGGCGGGAAAAGATTTCGGTATCGATTTCGCGAACAAGGCAAGGTACAGAGCTGAAAGTTTGCTGGGATATTCTCTGTGGATGTGCGAGCTAAAGATTTCAAATTCAGATGCCGCGCACGCTTGTGCAGCGCGTACGACCACGTCAAAGTTTGCGACTTTATGCTAACTCAAGAACTTGCCGGAAAATAGTGGCTGAAATTTTGACAGAATATTTGTCTCCCAAGTAGGAAACGGCATACATAAAATGAGCACCGATTTGCACTTGTGCCAGGATTTAAGGGCACTTCAAAGATATTTGTAGCGAAGTGAATATTTCGCTTGCCGGATAAGCTGTGGGGCTGAAAATTTGCTGGAATATTGTACTTTCAAGTGCGGTCTTAATTCTACTTGGAGGTGGAATTCCCTCCAGGTAGGCGTGAGAAGTACTCAACTTTACCGAAAAGCCAGAAATGAGTGCGTTTTGCAGAACAACCGTCCTCACCCAAATATGTAACTAAACACTAGTTAATTTGCATACATGGATTTTTTGACAAAAGAGCGCTCGAGCAATACTTCTACTTTTTATTGAACTGAAAATTTGCATTTTTTCAAAAAATTTACATCTGTCATTATGCGTTTTGCCTATATGCAAATTGCAAAAACGCATATTGGGACGACCCTGTCTGTGTGTATGTATGTATG